AAAATGAAACAAACAAAATATGCTAGCTGATAGGTTCTGAGCAATTAGATTTTGGTTACTCCAGGCAGAGCTTGAAATTCAAGTGCCCATGGGGACCGGGGAGGGACCACAGAGAGAAGAACCAGTGAAGATGCGGGTGAGATGCAGAATTGGAGACAGAGTGGCCAACCCAGAGTTAAGCAAAGACCACCATTTTTGTAGTGTCCTCCTCACTAAAGGGAACTTTCTGTAGGACAGATGTTTCCAGAGCTCACTTGATCTACTGAGAGCATAATGCAAGGTTAGAGCTCTTTCCCATTCTATGGTAGTTTCCCAGGTAATGTGTACCATGCCCAAGACTTCAAATGCCACCTTGGAATTACGTCATCTCCTTTCTTGACTTTTGGACTTTTATTGTTAAGCTCTCCTTAAATATCCCAGTAGACATTGCAGTGGCACCTGGAAATTAAGTGTAGCTGCATGGGCTGATAATACTCCTCAAAGATGTCTCTTCCAGCCAATGTTCACTCTCTCCTATCTGACAGAATCTACCCCTAGTCCAATCATTCTGATTTTATGTGCCAACTAGTTCTCAAATCCATAACCATGCACATTTGCTACTACTGTATGCTAAGTTGCTGTCAACTCTCCTCCCTGGCCAGGGAAGATTAATACCTTGTCATTGTTGCATGCATTGGTTCATTTTCCATTGTTGTAACAAAATACGCAAAGTGGTCACTTAATACTAAATTTAAAAAGAAAAAAAGAATGACAGAAAAGAAATTCATTCAGCCCACAGTTTCAGAGGTCCGGGAGCATTGAACTAATTTTTTGCTCTGCTCTAGTGAGAAGTACATGAATAGATCAAAATGATGGAAGAGCTTCAGGAATAGAAAGTTGCAGACCATGGAACAGTCAATCATGCTGATTCTATAACAGTCCACTGTACTGGGAACTAACTGAGATCATGAATGACCTAACCACTTCCTTCTAGCCCCCACTTCAGAAAAGTCTCACTACCTTCACATCACTGTACTAGGAGGACAAACTACATCCAAACCCTACTACTTCACAAACACTGTATTTGTTTCAAAGGTAATTATGTCCTACTCATCTCACTTGCCAGTAATGTTTTACAGTGCCCCTATAAAGCCATTATTAGGGTCTAGGTCTAGGCTACTCCTCCAGACTCACTTGGTCCAAGTAGCTAGAGTGACTACACTGACCTGTACAGTTTCCTGAGCTCATCATCAGTTCCCTGGCCTTGTAAAAAAAGGTTTGTTGTGGTTTCGATCTAGAAGACACCACCTCCAGCCTATGTACTCAGAGGTGAGGTTTTTGGGAGGTGATTGGATTGTGAGAGGCACCATACTCTTCCTGAATTCATTTGCTGAGAAGTTAACAGCTCAGTGTGCTGTTAGGAGGTGGGTGAGGTCTGGGAGAAAAAGATAGGATGCTGTTGACCTGGGAAGCTGGAATCTGGTCCCAGTTTCTTTCTCTCTCTGCTTCCTGGCCACCATGACATGAGCCGCTTGGCTCCACCAGACAAGGGCCTTCCGCCTTGCTGTTTCTGCCTCAGAGTCAGCAGACTGTTGCTTTCAGTCCGCTGGAAGCCATGAACCAAAATAAACCCCTCTCCTCCTGTAAGCTGTGGGTATCTGCTATTTTGTACCAGTGTTGTTCAAATGATTAAGACATGGTTTCTTCCACAAGAATCTTATTCCTTCCCTTATCCTTCTCCAACTTTATTTGTATTCATCCACTTGATTTCAGATTTAAGAGAAGATTTCCCCCCCCTTCAGGAAAGCTTAAAACTGCAGAGGTTGACTAAACCTCACATAGGGCAGATATATGTGGTCTCTCTCCCAGAGAGCCTCCCCTTCGCCTATGTGTCATCTCTCTCCGGAGAGCCTCCCCTTCGCCTATCTGTGGTCTCTCCCCGAGGACCTCCCCTTTGCCTATATCTGATATCTCTCCCTGAGAACTTAGTCTTCACCTATGTGTGGTCTCTCTCCTTGAGAGGGCCCCTCCTTCACCTGTATGTAGTCTCTCTCCCTGAGAGAGCACCCCCTTCCTTTGTTGTGACGCCATTCAAGGATATGACACACACTATATGGAGCTAATAAATATGGGTATTAATCAGAATAAAATTATTCCTTTGGAGTATATGATTCAAAAAAAGGCTCTGCAAAAGACCACAAAATAAAAACCAAAACCAAAGCCTTTCTCCACCATATTGTGGCCTCTGGTTATAAAGTCTCTTTTCAAAATGGCTCAACTCTGTAAACAAAATGTTAGATGTTTAAGGTTTGACTTAACACAAGGACTGCAGTTATTTGCTCCATTCTGTGACCTGATTTATAAATAAATGAATAATTATGGAGAAGGGCTAGGGGTTTAACTCAATGGCATAAGTGTCTTTCTTTCAAGTATGAGATCTTTAGTTCAATCCTCAATATCTATGGATATATATGTTCAATCCTCAATATCTATGGATATATATATATATATATATATATATATATATATTCAGTATATATATTGAGTATATATATATTGGATATAGATACCTGGGTTTGCTAAAAATGTAAGACCACTCTATAATATGTTTAAGAAAAAACATGCAACAGAGATAGGTATAATTAATTAAATTTTTAAAAAAACTAAAGCCTTCAACCAAATCACAAGGGCTTTAGCCTCAGTGCCAGCCTATAAAATCCCAGATGTGACACACTCTTTTGACCAGTTCATTGATAAAAAACAACACATTGCCTCAAGAGTCCTAACTCAATCAGTAACATCCTAAAAATGGGCAGTGGCTTACCTGTCTAAAATTCTGGACTCCATGTGAAAAAGACGTCCTTCTGGTTTGTGGGTGCTTGCTGGTACCACCCTCCTGATCAAGGAGAGAAAGGCTTTGGTTCCCTCCCAACAATTTTTCATCAGCACTTTTCAGTTGTGGTTATTCTGTTTATCACAGAGTGTGAGAGTGTATTGTTGTTGTTAATTTTTTCCATGTTATCTGACCTTTTCCTGATGGCCAGAATGGTATGCATCACAACTTGAACATTTTATTTGAAGGAGATAATGCATGCTTCAGCAAACATGTCGGAGAATATTAAGCGTGAAGTCAAAAGATTAGATGGTATTTTAGTCTGGAAGCGAAGTTTGTTGTTGTTTAACAGAAAGGATGATGGAATGGTGTGCACTTGGGGGACAGCACTGTTGACAATGTCTTCTAGAGGATGCAGAAGAAAGGACTGTGAGTGTTGGAAAAGTCTGGGCAGAGTCAACATAAGAGTGAATCCCACACCAATGGGCGAGATTTCAGTAAAATCATGTGGTTCAGACAACAGGATTTTATGACTCTGTGGGTTGACGAGGTGAGGGCAAAGGTGAACTATGAATCGAAATCACTTTCAGATGTGTTATCTGGTTCTTTAGAAAATTAGGGAAACCAGAACGAATTCCAAGGCCAGCATTTAAATCTCTCTCATCGGCACAGGTAAAGGGATGAGCCCTGCTAGATCTCGTTAATGCTATCAATTGCTTGCCATTTGATTCAAAGCATACTAAAAAGGATCAAAACCATCAGATACCACTAATTTGTAATAGCTTTTCTAAGCACGTGAGCTAGACAGTGGCTTCCTATAAAACAAGCAATATACAGATTGGCAAGATGGAAATTATTTTTGTTATATATATATATATATATATATATATATATATATATATAATATTGGTAAATAGTAGGCATAATGTTTCTTTTTCATTTTTATTTTATTTGTACATGTCTGCCTTACATGAAGTCTACGTTCATCTTGCAGAGTAGGAGCAGGTACATAACATGTTTTTTTTTTTTTTTTGATTCCCCTTTCATTCCCTCCTTGTCCCTCCCTCTGTCTCTAAGTCTCCCTTCCCCATTTCCATTCTTATTATCTTTAGCTCTTTTTATGATATATAATGTTAACATTTCAAATTATGCTTTAGATGTTTCCTGGTTTCAAAACTCTTTGTTGACCAACCAGTTTGTCTAACTTAGACCTTGAGATACAGGAGCTATGGAGTAGCTGGTGATGTTAGTATCTAAGGTCTGTTTTAAGACACTTGGTAAGCTTGGGAAGCTTTGGCTAGGTGGACAAAGTGCCTGTAGGCAGTAGGCGTTCAGCACTGGAGATTCTTATGAATAAAGTGACTACTAAACAGCAAGTAGAACAGGCGTGTGCAGCAAACACAGACAACAGGATGTCCATCTTCCCAGTCCAGAGCTGGGCTCTTGAGCATGGCAGTCACTAGCCACATGTAGGCACATTTGAGTTACTTTGGAGCTGATCAAAATTTTTTCCAGGACTGAGATTATTATAGCTCAGTGACACAAGCACCTGCCTGGTGAGTGCAAAGTCATGAGTTCGATTTCTGGTACCCAATTTTTTTCCAAGTTCTCATTTCATTTCATCTCTCTTTCTCATTTCTTTCTTTGATTTCTAATATGATGGAAAATATGTAAAAGTTGACTTTCTGAATCTTAGCGTACTTCACTTAACATGATGTTCTCCAGCTCCATCAATTTTCCTGCAGGTCCCATAATTTCAACCTTCATTATGACTGAATAATATTCCATTCTGTATGAACACACCACATATTGTTTATTCTCTCATCTATTGATGGGCACCTTGCCACTTTCCTTATCTTAGTTACAGTGAATTGTGCTGCAGGAAACATGAGCATGCTAGAATCCCTATTTTATGCTGACGTTAATTCTTTGAGGAATATACCAAGGAGAGGTATGGCTGAATCAGATGGTAAGAGCTGATAACATTTAATAATCATCTCCTCTGTTGTATTTGCCAAGCTCCACCAAATGGGATTACATCTTGGTAAATCCAAGGTGGAGGTCTCCACTAAACAGCCCAGCAAAAAGTTCTCCACAATCCAACTCAAATATGCAGTGTAGTTGCAACTAATATTAATGGAACAGGTTTTTTTTTTTTTTTTTTTTTTTTTTTTTTTTAACAACTCATTCAACATGCTCAGCCTAGTGGTTCTCCTAAGGACAGTTCCGTCTTATCTTTCTTCTTCTCTTTCATAAAAGATTTCTTCTTGGACCCCTAGCCTCAGCTCCATCAAGTTCTTTCCTGCAGCTTGAAGACCCCACGTTATCAACCCAGGATTACCTACTTCTCTGTTGCCTGCAGGTAAGTTAGCTAGATGATAACTTGCAGTTATCTTTTTTAAAAATTTCAAAACATAATGTAATTATATTACAGTTACATCTTAACCATTTGATGACCTGCTTTGCCCAATGGGAAAAGGGAAGATTATCAATGGTATCAATGAATGTCAATGATTGAAAAATGAAGATTATCAGTGATTATCAATGATTACTGATGATACATCAACAAGCATATTTGATGATAAAATAATGAAACGATTTTAAAATTCTTTAAGAGATAGGTTTTGTAGCACTCAGAAGGCTGGAGCAGGAGGATCACAGTGAGTGTGAGATCAGCCTATCTATGTAGTGAGTTCAAGGCCAGCCTAAACTTCAAATAGATACCCCATCTCAAAAATAAAAAATGTGTTTTCTAGCTATGTACAGGGGACCACGCCTGGATTCCAGCTGCTCAGGAAGCTGAGGCAGTAGCATCACAAGTTTAAGAACAGTATGTGTGAGCCCTGGGTTCAATTCTTTAAATCATGAAAAGTGTATCTTACAGATTGCAAGCATACTACATGATACAGGCTAAGTTAATGCCACTACCACTAATAGCATTTATAATCATGATAAGTAGTTACAGTCTCTGGGGACCATTATGTCAGTGGTGATGAGCTTTGGTCTTTTAATAGCTTAACCATATTAACCAAAATTATATGGACTTGTTCAGCTTATTATTTTCCATTACTGGTAAGAGCCTGTGTTTATTTTGGAGATTACATATAAGCTATGTTCAAATTCCCATGACCCAGCACAACCTATTCATTTGTTCAGTGTCTGTCACTCAGTGTGAATCTTTTGATGTCTGTAAAATTTTAAAGATATATCCTCATGGTTATTAGAGATTTGTAAATTACTGCTAGCCAGTAGGAAAACTAAAGCAAAATGGCATTTTACTTTTATTGTTTTATGACCAAGGAAAACATTCAATGTAAACAGTGCTAAATAACATGATGATATAAAAATATTAATTGTTATACAAATGTCTGTAAGTCTCAAGAAGGTGCACATGGACCTATTTTCTAGCACTCAAAGTTGTGTTGAAGTCCTTTGAGAAGCAAGGAAACTGAAAATGAGAATGAAAGGGTTGCTGGCCCAGACCAGACACTATAGCCAGAAAAGCCTCAGCTGGAATTAGGGAGCTCCTGCCTCCCCCGCCCCTAGAGATTTACCTGTAACCCTATACCCCCACCCTTAGAAACCTACCTCTGGCGCCCAACTAAGACCAATGGGCTACCTGTGCATCCCTAATACCCCCTAGGTTCCACCCCAGGCCGAGGCTACTTATGTGCCTTACTCCACGTGTTCCAGGGAGAGATCGCTGCCCGCTGCCCGGGGTGGAGATGCCACACCCCGGGGGGTCGGGGGTGTCTCTCCCCGCATTCTCAAATAAAGGTTACTTATATTTTATATTTCTTATTCACAGTTCTATCAGAGACTATCAGTCCTACATTTTACAGAGTTTCTGTGAAATTTAGTGTATCTAGAAGATTTCTTTCTGAGGTGTGTCTGTACTGCGTTTTTTATACAATAAGCATTCATATTGTCTGGTGACTTCTGAGGTTGAAAAGGACAGGAGGAGAAGGATAAACAAATCTAGTTCCCAGAGAGTTGTGTCTGCTGTTACTTTTGCTGTTGGTTTTAACTCGTTTATTCAATTAGGTTTATCTGACTCACTTCACTCTGAGACAATTAGTGTAATTTGGGGAAACATTTATAATGTTCTAGGAAAAATAGACCATCATTTAGATCACAGGAAAGTGAGGTTAGGATAACAGACCCCAAAATAAGCATGCTATAGTGTAAGTGACAGTGTCAAATTTCTTGTCTAAAATTTTGAACCCAGGGTAGGTTTTAGAAGCACAGATAGTATGTATCGTGTTACCTAAATCCTCCTCAAATAATATTCCCAACCGAGTGTCCAAGGGAATGAGACAGGAGGATTGACTGGTAAGAAAAAAGCATGGACCATTTCATATTAGCAAATCTTCTTAAAATTGGTCAACAGAAGACCAGATCTGTGTGACCTGCCAAACACTGACTCAAACAAGCAACCCGACACAGTCTAAAGAAAATGAAAATCACCAGTGAATGAAACACAGAACTTGAAACAAATGCCCACACTTTCGTCAGGCATCCCACCAGACCAAAGGACCATCTTCACATGGGAGGAACTGTCATTTGTAGTTGAAATGGCTTTATGATTTATTCTAAGAGTTAGTAACCATCTTTCCATTTACCTGGGGTAGGCGTGCATGTGTGGCTAATTATATTTTCCCATGGGTTGAAGGTTGTTGTCGCTAAGGGGTGTTCTCAGAAAGAGTGGGAATGGAAGCTCTATTCTGTGCTCCTGTATCAGAGCAAAGTTAAGCAGCCACTTGGGGACTTAACCTAAGACCTGGCCCTTTTTTTTCCCTCCCTCTCTTTTCTATCCGTTTGAATGTCTACTTTGTATTCTTTGATACTGTGATTTGAGCAACTATTTCCAAGATGATATTATGTAATCTATTAACAGGTGATTTCTTACTGTTATGTTTATTTTTTTTTTTTTGTAGTTCTGTATTATGTGTAACCTTACACTGCTTTGTCTTGTTTTGTGTTTTTCTCTTTTTCCTCTTAAATAAAAAAAAAAAAAAAAAAAAAAAAAGACCTGGCCCTTGTTGTCACAGTGTTATAAGTGAACTGTCTCAGCAGGAGTCATGTCATTTGATCTCTTTGTTGGACTTATCTCCCTGTGCATTAACATGCCAGTCAAGGTTCAAACAAAGCAATCCTATAGATAATGTGGTTCGAATTCTATTTTTCCTGTTAACCAAATAATTACCTTCCTCTCGGTTACAAGTAGATAGTGGAGCCCTAGATGTTGAATTCTGAGCTCATAGGGGTGCAGGCCACCCACAAGGATGGTGCATGCCCACGGATCAAGCCAAAGGCTACTTAGCTGCCTGCAGTTACCCGGGAGCTCAAAAATTACTGTTTTTTTTTTTTTTTTTTTTTTCCAAAATCTGAAGTAACAGAAGGATCACCGAAGTTAAACTTCACGTTCAGCCTATTTTCTCCCTCAAAGGATTCTGTTGCATTCCTAGCTTCCATTATAAGATCATGTGGTTTAAAACTTCAAGCTTATAACATTTCTAAACGCAGAAATTCAAATGAAGGATTCCTTCTTCAGAAAAGAGGGGTATTGCTTTGGACGTACATATCAGCAAATTGGCTGCCTGGTCAGTGTAAAGTAGAGGAAGGTCGTTCATCATTTTAGCCCTCTGGAATGTGGCTTTCAGGAGCACCTAAGATAAATTACCAATTTGGAAAGAAGCCTGGCAGGTGTTGGAGATACAATGTCATTTCAAGGATGGAGAACGGGATCACAAGTCACCATGTTACAGTGTCCTATGGATGCCGACATAGAAAGATACAAACTGTTTGTTAATCCAATAACAACAGGTTTTTTCTCTGCAAGTTGCTATCTTGAAGACAGGTTCTCTAGTTTGGGGGCTACTTTATTACTGTTGAGAACACCTACTTGGCCTTTGTTATGTACTGAAGAACTGAAAATTATTTAAAGGAATGTTTCTTAAGACACAAAACCAGGAATTTTGCAAAGACAGTTACAAAGCCTTATTAGGAATGAGTGAAGTGATAAATAACATTTATTTTCCTAGCTGTTAAGCTACAGTTTGCCAACTTAATCACCAAACACTTTTCATGTATAAACAGCATGTTTTACTTTGCAGAATTGACACACATCAGTATCAGCTTGAAACAATTCTGCAAGCATTTTTATTTATGTCCTTTTGTCTGAGCACTTCATGTATTTCACTTCAGTGGCATCATATGAATCAAAATAAATTTCATTTCCATGCTACACCACATCTAGGGCTTATGTTTATGTCTTTTTTGCCATCCTGTTGCTTCACAAGCACAAACAAATAACCCTTGAACTTTGTGTTGGTTTGCACAGTAATCTGTTGGAGCTACAAAATCTCTGAGATCCTTTGACTCTTAAAAAAAAGTCTACAGTTCTAAAGGATCGGTGGAATTTACTTCTTGTAGATTGCTATTAAGACAAAACTGAAAATAATTTCCCCAAGGAAATTTATTTACTAAGCGTTACTGCAGGAAACCATTGGGAAATCCAGCTGCTCAGAGAGAAAGAGCAGTAAGCAATGGTTCCCGAACAGGAAGTTACAACTGTTGTTGCTTCACTGGTGTGTGTGTGGAGGAAATGGGAACCTGCAGGACGAAAGAGGCAGAGGAGAGGGAGAGATGTTTCCACTTGTGGAGAATTGTGAATGTTTTGGTAGAGATGAGAATCTTTGGGGCCAGCTGACCAGAGGTGGTAAGGTAGAATTAAGGAGTTTGAATTTCAGTGCATCCCCATATGTTTGCGGGAACCATCTTCTGGGCTAATGTGATAGAATAAAATGTGGATCCCTAGGTTTAGGCAGAGGACTCCAGTGGAAATTTTAGATTGAACTGGTGCAAAGAAGAGTTGGAAAAATTGAGATGGATTATTGTGTTTGTGTGCGTGTATGGGTGTGTGTTTTCTAATTAGATTTTTTTGTCTTATAATTTTTATGGTGATTAGTCCATGTGGGGGTATATAATGATCATGCTCCTTGTGTGGAGTTGGTGCATGCGCATAACACATCTTACTTCTTTCTTATCTCCTTCCTCTCCCTTCTTCATTTCTTAGTCTGGATAGGTGAAAGTTGCTGAGATTTTTCACTCCTGCTTCCTCACCATTCCTCATCTGCTCTTCTCTTTTGCATACTGAAGATCTTCCCACCTCTACAGCTTGCACTAATGCTGGGCATGTTCTTGGGTCTAAATTAATACAAGTGCTAAATCAGTGTTTGAGGAAGGAAGATTTCAGCGGCACTGTCATATAGCAAACCCTGCAACCTGTGCTGTTAGAGTCTGCAGGTCATGAGCATAGTGAGAGATGGACTTTTCTTACTCTATTAGCTGTTTAATTTT